GCCCTCCCACAGTCCTTCCCACTGGGAGCAGATAGTGTCGATGGTTTTATGTAGCCTCCCAAGGACCAAACAGTATTTGAAAAAATTTTGAATTCTGAATATAGTCGAATTCCAATAGCTGCCATTTTGGGGTGACATCCAGCCACACAAGGTGTTTCTCTACCACGTGACAGTTTTGAATGAGACTTGAAGTTTTGTGGTCGGGCCCTGGCCAGTGTGGCAAAGGTCGCCGGTTCCGTTCCCGGTCAGGGCACATGGCCAGGTTTCGGGTTCGATCCCGGTTGGGGTGCCTGCAGGAGGCAGCTGATTGATGTTTCTCTCTCACGTCAGCGTTTCTCTGTCTCTCTCTCTCTAAAATAAATAAAAGCATATTGGGAATGTTTTCCTTGTGGGAGGGACTTTTTACTGTGAATGTTTAGAAACCGCCTGAATGTGAAAGCGCTTGGCTTGCCACCCGGCGGGACCCCGAGCGCTGAGTCCTCGCCGCAGCCCCCCGGGGGGTGGTGTTTTGGTGACGTTGACGTTGCTAATCCTGCGGGTGCAGCGCCTTTGCCATGCCTTGCAGAACGTGGCATTGGGTAGGAAATGTCCCTGCATTTGTGGGTGGGGTGGACCTAGGGACCCGGGGAACCAGCACTTGCGGGGTGAAGACGGCTGGTCGCTGCGCCGTTCAGACACGTCGGGAAAGGCCGCAGCGGAGCCGCGGGCGTGAGTAACCCCCGCCGTTTGCTCTGGTGCCGGCTGCCCGGGCTCGGTCACGTTTCAGAGGGATTTGCCTGGTTAAACACAGGGTATCGTAGGGGCTTTTAAATAGACGACTGCAAACAAGGAAATGGGAGGTGGCCGTTGCACCGGCGTCGACCGGGCGGGACCGGCGTGCGGCGTTTTGTGTCTGACTCCCGGCGGGGCCGCCGCAGTGGGTGAGCGGGGCTCTCCCGTGACGTAGTCAGGGGCTTTGGGCCCTGGTTAACCATCCAAGGGCTTCGGTAGCTCTGGCGATAGTGGCCTAACATACTTTCAGAAACACTGGCTCGGAAACAAAGGAGTGTTTGCTTGTTTATTTAGCACCTACTGTGTGCCAGGCCTACTGTGTGTGAGGCCCTGGCCTGGAGAGCCCTGTGGCCCGTCTTGGAGGTTGGGTGGAGACCGACAATGGATAAATGTGTCCCTAGCGGGGGGAACCAGGGGAGGCTGGCTGGAGGGTCTGGTAGGGGGTCAGGGGAGCTGGGGGCCGAGATTGGGGTGGTGTCTGAGGCTCCAGGCAGTGAGCAGGGAGGGGAGGGCCTGGCCCAGCTCCGGGCTGAGGAACACGGGTGAAGGAGGGGGTTGTGAGGTTAGATGGTCAGATGTAGAGGCGATGTTGGGGTTCACCACTGACCACTCCGCGTGCTGGGATCCCCCCAGGCGCTGCCTGTCGGATCTCAGGCATCCTTCTGCGGCAGCCTCGTGGGGAGGCTTTTCTGTCACCCCTCCACCTCCTGGGGTCTGAACCTGGGACGGGCTCCTGAGCCACGTTTTCTCAGGCCACGCTTTCCAGGATAAACGCCTCTAGGAGCTGTGGCCCCGTGTCCTGTCGGGTGGAACAGACCTGCATCAGAGCTGGGGCAGGAGACACCGAGGGCCTGGGCTCCGGCGCGGGGGGACAGTAGGGTCCTGGAGGGGAGTCACCAGTAGCAGCCAGGGAGCNCACGCGGGGGGAGAGTGGGGTCCTGGAGGGGAGTCACCAGTGGCAGCCGGGGAGCCTGAGGACAGAGATGGGATGCGGGTGAGCCAAGGTGAGAGCCGGAGTGGTGGGGGGCTTGGGAGCCCCCTGGAGGAGCAGAGGACAGGGTCGCTGGGGTGAGCGAGGCTCAGAGGGGAGGCAGGGTGGC